CCGCCCCTGCCGCTGGCGCTGGCCCTGGCCCTTCTGCTGCTATTCTCAGGTAAGCTGGCCGAGGGAAATGGCGTGGCTCCGGGAGACAGTGGGACTGGGGACCAGGACTCAGACCCTTCTCTCCGGGTCCTTCCCAGACACATCAATACTTTAGGGCCACCTGAGCTGGCACAGAGACCAGTGACCTCCCTGACTTCAGGGGCTCCAAGCACAGCCCTGTCCCATCCAGAAAGTGGTGACGACCCCACCCCACCCCCTGGTCGTGGGAAGGGGCAGGGATGGAGCCACCATCCTGGCTCCCATTAGAAGTTCGTGACTTGTGAGTTAATTCCTTCTAGCTACTCCTGAAAACAGCTGAGTTTATTGTAGATGACAGTTTCATTCCAAAAGTCCCACGTTTGTCCCTGGAAGCCCATCTGGCTCCAGCCTATGGACAGTTTTTTGTTTGTTTGTTTTTGGAGACAGGATTTTTCTGTGTAGCTTTGGAGGCTGTCCTGGAACTCGCTCTGTAGATCAGGTTGGCCTCGAACTCACAGAGATCTGCCCTGCCTGTCTCTGCCTCCCAAGTGCTGGGATTAAAAGCCTGTGGACAGTCTTATTAGGGCCCATTGACATGGCTTGGCAGCTGCCAGCCTCCCATCTTGGAGACCAAGGGAAAGTTTAATGCTAGGCATATTGCCAAAATCACCTCTCCTCTCCTTTCTGTTTAACTTTCCAGTCAATCATGAGGACCTACTCAGTGCCAGGTACTTAGTAGGGCTGGTGTTTGCCACCTCTTCTGTCAAAATGTGCTTGTTTCATTAATTCACTCAGAACCTTAACTTACTCCAAAGCTCTGGTTTGACTTGAGGCTCCACTCTGGTACCTGAGTCAACTTCACTTCCCCAGAGATTTCTCAGTGTGGACTCAACTTTCCTAGATGTCTCTGCTGAAGGTGCTGGGCGGCTGAGGTGCGGGAGGGGTCAGCTCAGCATACCCTCCCTGTACCCAGATGGTATTTCCTCATATCTGCTGTGTGGGGTGAGGCTAGGAGGAAGCAGAGCAATCACCCCTGGGCAGAAAGGACGTGGGAGGGGCAAAGTGGCTGGTGAGTGACCTTGTGCCCTGCACACCTGGTTGGAGACACCTGGATCTGGGAAGGAAATCATAGGAAGAGGTAGACCAGGAACTATGTCCACAGCCTCTGAACTCCGCTGGGGATGGCATATGAACCAGGGAGCCTGGAGGGGCGGGATGGTGAGTGTGTGAGTCAGAGACTGAATCCTGGGATTGGCAGAGGCTGGGGTGTGGCTCAGTGGTAGAATATGTAGCCCACAGTTGGGGCAGAGTTCAAATCCTATTGTAGATCAGGGCTCCGAAGTTCTCAGGTCTCTAGAAACCTCTGGGTGGGGTGGTACCTGCCCCTGAGGACCAGAGCTGAGTAATGCTGTAACGTCCTGAGACTCAGCTTCCCTCTTCTGTAAAGTGGGAGGCCATCCATAGTGCCTGAGCCGTGACAGGTGGCACCCCCGCAGCCAGATCAGAGTGTCGGCCAGGGTTGCCTTAGGTGTCCAGACCACTTGCAAGCACAGCTCAGAGCCCTCTTTTTCAGACACAGGTAAGAAAGAAAGGCCTTGATGAGCTGGGCAGGGAGGAGACCCAACCCTGAGCAGTGCCACCTGCTTTAAGCTTCATAAACACACACCCCTATCTTTTTTTTTTCTTTTACAGTATTCAGGGAAAGCAAAAGTACAGATGCACCTTCTTCCCCCACCACCCCAAGTCCAGACACGACCCCAACCCCTTCTCCCACCACCCCAAGTCCAGACACGACCCCAACCCCTTCTCCCACCACCCCAAGTCCAGACACGACCCCAACCCCTTCCCCCACCACCCCAAGTCCAGACACGACCCCAACCCCTTCCCCCACCACCCCAAGTCCAGACACGACCCCAACCCCTTCCCCCACCACCCCAAGTCCAGACACGACCCCAACCCCTTCCCCCACCACCCCAAGTCCAGACACGACCCCAACCCCTTCCCCCACCACCCCAAATCCAGACACGACCCCAACCCCTTCTCCCACCACCCCAAGTCCAGACACGACCCCAACCCCTTCCCCCACCTCCCCAACTCTGGAAGTGACCCCCACTTCAGATTCCAGCTCCACAGGAACAAACCCAGGCTCAGCCTCCCCAAAGCCAGAAACAGCCTCACTCCCCAGCTCTGGCTCCCCAGATCCTGAGCTGACCACTGTGTCCCAGTCCACGAACTTGGTTCCGCAAGCATCACCCACTGTGTCCAGCCCTGGCCAGGGTGAGTGTAAGGACTGGGGGAGGGGGAAATGTTGGCTGGAACCTGGCTGCAGTTCTGAAATCAGTCAGCAGGGGACGACACAGACCTGGGAGTGTGTGGGCCAGCTTCAGTCCACAAGCCAATTACACTACTGTTGGTGCCCTTATTAACTTGCTAGTGTGTGCTGGCTCCTGAGGACACAGCTATGTTGTATTATCTTTTTGTTTTTCGAGACAGGGCTTCTCTGTGTAGCTTTAGAGCCTATCCTGGCACTTGCTCTGTAGACCAGGCTGGCCTCGAACTCACAGAGTGTTTGGATTAAACTTCTGAGTGCTGGGATTAAAGATGTGTGCTGCCACCACCGCCTGGTGATCTAGTTATAGCTGTGTGGTGGCCCGTGCTGTATCCCTAACACCAACCAGGAGGAGGAGGCCAGAGGGTTACCTCAAGTTTGAGACCAACCTGGGCCACATGTTGGGCCCCAGCTTAAAAAAAGAAAAACAGTGACTGAAGAGATGGCTCAGTGGTTAGGAGCGCTGACTGCTCTTCTAGAGGTCCTGGGTTCAATTCTTAGTATCCACATGGCAGCGCACACGACTATCTGTAATTTCAGGTCCAGGGGCCTTGACACCCATGGCAAAACACCAATGCACATAAAATAAAAATAAATTAATTAAAAACAAGCAAAGTCCACATGAAATTGTATACTTATTTATAAAATAACAACATAGGCCCTGGAGTGTGCCTCAGGGTGGAGCCCCTGCCTAGAATTCCCCAGTGAGGGGCTGGGGGCGTGGCTCAGGGGTGGAGCCCCTGCCTAGAGTCGCCCAGTGTGGGCGTGGCTCTGGCCTGGGCTGAGCCCCCTTCCTCTCCCCAGACATAGGCAGCCTGTGGATCCCCACATCACACAGGAACCCGGGCGTGGTGATCGCTGTGTGTCTGCTTGTGTCTGTCTTGCTCATTGGCTCTGTGTTCACTGCGGTGAGACGCTGTAGTCGGGAAGCGCCAGCTTTTCATAATCTGGATACAGTGTCCTTGGTGAGATGGGTCAGCGCTGGGGCAGCAGCCTTTGCATTAGACACTCCCCTGCAGTTAAAGCCCTGTGCTGCTTAATGCTAACCCATGTGTGTTTCTCTTCTAGGGCAGTGTGAGCCAGCGGCTGCCGTTTGCCGACCACCTACAGTCCTGACTCTCAGAGGCCTAGAGATGGGGTGGGGTTGGGGCTAACACCTGGGAAAAACAGTTGCTGGAAAAGACTTCACTGTATTAACCTGGAGATAAACTTGTGGCAGGAGGATGTCTTGAGCCCAGGAGTTTGGGCCAGTTCGGCCCAGACATCTAGTACTCAACTTAAAAATCAAGTCAATCCAGGGTGATGAAGCATGCCTGCCATTCCAGCACTTGGGATGTACAAACAGGAAGATCAGGTGTTCAAGTCCACCCTGGGCTACATAGGGGGTTTGAGGCCATCCTGGGCTACATGAGACTGTCTTTAAAAAAGAGAAAAGCGGGGCGGGGTGGTGGTGCTGAAGAGAAGCCTGGGCTCAATTCCCAGCACTCACATGGCAGTTCTCAACCACCTGTGACTCCAGTTCCCGGGATCTGACACCTCCTTTTGGCCTCTGCAGTCAGGAGGCCACCTCTTGCAGGTGACAGATATGCAGACATACATTCAGGCAAAACACATAAAAGATAACATTAAATAAATATAAACTAAATAAATAAAGTCCTTCGTATTCATAGAGGCTCCCTGAGACGTGCATTCATGCCACCAATAGTAACTGAGCACCTATACACCTTATGCCTGAGTCACACTAGTGACACAGTGTCTGCTCGGGGCGGGAGGGGGCGGCATGACAGCTGGAGAACGGGGCGGGAGGGAGGGTGCTGATGAGACCCAGTGTCCTGGCAGGACAGAGGCCACTCTCTAAGGAGGTAATGGGAAGCCGTCTGGTGAAAGACACAAACTTGAATCGCTGTAAAAAGCCCACACAGTATGAGCAGAGGCCCTGTGACAGGAGAGGCATGGACTTGTTTATCACGGAAGAGCACAAAGGCCTAAGTGGATGTTAAGGGAAGAAGGGAGCTTCCATCTGTGGAGGTAGAAGGAATTTCCTAGCAAGCCTCAGAGCTTTCTTGTGGCTGGAGGTGCTGCTGACACTCACATGCACACACGCGCGCGCGCGTGCGCACACACACACACACACACACACACACACACACACACACACACACACACCTCCAGAGGAAACACACGTCGGCAGAGGACGCTGGATGCTTCAACTTCTCTCTACACACCCTGCTCCTTCCCCTGCTGCAGTGGCTCAGGCTTGTGGCTGGGGACACTCCAGACAGCCAGCTTTTCCAAGATTCCACTGGAGTCTTGAGCAGAGGGTGACACAGGATCTGTTCTTTCACTGAGGGTGACGACCTTTGTCAGCATATTGAACACCACCCCCTACTCCCATCATGCTTTGGTGACCCCTGGAGTAGGTGGTGGGAGGCTTCTTGGCCAGTCTGTGGGAGGGTAGGGTGAAATATTAACTTGCCTCAGAGTCACAGACCAGAGTGGCCTCGAGTTCCCCCATGCCCAAGCCACTGTCCCTCTTAGGCCACAGCTCCCTGGGCTTCCCACCTGACTGCAGCTCTAACTTATGGGTAAAATTTGACCAGAGAAGGTCATTAACTGCCTGGAGCAGCACAGCAAAGAAGAATAGCTTTCCTAGAAGCTTGAGGTGCCTTGATTGGTCCCCCAAAATACTGAGGTAAAGTCGCCTCAATCTCAGGCTATTTCTGTCCTCTGCTGTGTGAACACATTAACAATTACTCCCCCACCCTGCCCACTCTGTCCCTGCTTCTCCTGGTCACACATTTGAGCACCACTTACACACCTTCAGGCCCTTGTGGTCAGCCTGCCCTACCCCGTCCTCCAACCCTGAGGGTACGGCCTGGCTGGAAATGGGACTGGGGCTCTCCTCTGCTCCTGAGGCAGTCAGTCACAGAACACACACAAAGCACATCCCCACAAGAGCAGCCTGCAGTGAGGACCAGATCTGTGTCAGTGTGACAGGGTTCTGCATCTGGGGAACTGGGGTCCAGAACCCCCAAGGACCAGAGTCCTGCTGAGCTGGCCAGGGAGGGTGCTGTGGAGGAGAGTGGGTGTCTGCAGCAATCTCTTCAGGCAGCTGCTCAGGGCTGCCCAAGCTCAAGTGGCTCTAGGCTTCCAGGGTGGGGCAGGGGTGGCTGCCTCCCTCATCTAGTGAAGCCTGCACCATGAGGTGGAGAGGCACCGCGCTGTCCTTGCTAAGTGAGGTTGAGAGCATTGGTCTGGGCTCAGAGGGGGAGCCAAGGCCTGAGGTCCCTGCCCAGAGTTGCCCTTTATGAGTTCACAGGGACTTGGGTATAGAGAGGCTCCCCAGGATTCTGGGGAACCACCAAGCCAAGCACATGGCCCGAATGCAAGATATTTTTCACTTATTAATAGTTTTAAAATTTCATGTATATATGGTTCTGCCTAAATGTATGTCTGTGGTACCACATGGGTGCAGTGCCTCCTGAGGCCAGGAAAGGGTGTCAGTTAAATTATCTATTTATTTTTGAGACAGGCTCTTCCTATGTAGCCCCGGCAGGCCTTGAACTTACTGTGTAGACCAGCCTAGCCTCAAATCCACCAACGTCCACTTTAAAAAGTGACATGCATGGACTGGAGAGATGGCACTGGAAGGGCACTGACTGCTCTTCCAGAGGTCCTGAGTTCAATTCCCAGCACCCACATGATGGCTGACAGCCATCTGTAATGAGATGTAATCCTCTTTTGTCCTGTAGGGATGCATGTACGCAGAACACTCTATGTATAATAAATTAAAAAATCTTTTAAAAAGTGACTTTTAGTTAGTGTGTGGTGGTGGTGGGGTGCCATGGTGTGTGCTGTAGAGGCCAGAGGACAATTTTTGGGGTCGGCTCGGCTCGGCTCTCTCCTTTCACTGTCCATACAGAGAATGGAAGTCAGATCCTCAGGCTCAGCGCCAAGCACCTCCACCCACTGAGCCATCTCCTCAGGTCTTTCCTATTCTTCTTTAATTTTTAAATTATATTTGACTTTCGTACCTTAGGTGGGAGTTCACGTGCATACCTGTGTTAATGTCTGTGGGTATCCATGCCACAGCGCAGACATCAGGGGGCAATGTTGCAGTAGGGTCACGCCTTCTATCGAGTGGGTAACAGGGATTGAACACAAGTCCTCAGCATTGGTGTGGCAAGCCATCTCACAAGCCCTATTTTCTAAATTGAAGCATTCTTTCTTTTCTTTCTTTCTTTTTTTTTTTTGTTTTTTGTTTGTTTGTTTTTTTGAGACAAGGTTTCTCTGTGGCTTTGGAGCCTATCCTGGCACTTGCTCTGGAGACCAGGCTGGCCTCAAACTCACAGAGATCCGCCTGCCTCTGCCTCCTGAGTGCTGGGATTCAAGGCATGCACCACCAACGCCCGGCAAATTGAAACATTCTTAAAATTAAAACGAAAAGCATTTTTGAGAGCAGGTCTAATTATGTAGACCAGGCTAGCCTCAAACTCATAGAGATCCACATGCCTCTGCCTTTTGAATGCTGGGATCAAAGGTGTACACATTGCCTACCAGTGGTGGTGCCTTTAATCCCAGCACTTGGGAGGCAGAGGCAGGCGGATCTCTGAGGTTGAGGCCAGCCTGGACTCCAGAGCCAGTGCCAGGATAGCCAGGGCTACAGTGACACCATGTATTGAAAAATAAAAACAAAAAACAAACCCATCCTCTCCCTCCAAAAAAGTTGTGTGCGTATGGCTTAAACATTTCTTTTTCAGACATGATCTCACTGTGTAGCCCAGGATGTGTGGGAACTCATGGCAATGCTCCTGCCTCAGTCTCCCAAGTGCTGGGACTTCAAGTGTGCCCTGCTTCCTTGAGACCCTTGCCCTGGCAACGAGCCCAGCCTCTGGGAGATCTGGGGAAGGGTTCCTGGAGGAGGCGGCTGGTGAGGCTGGGAGAGAGTGAGCCTCAGGGGCTGAGGGAGGCAGCAACTGGCCATGGGCAGGACATGGGGACACAGGGCTTGGGTAGCCATGGGGAGGGTGTGGGTTTTCTATTCTGGCCAAAAGCGCTGGGAAGGTTGGGAGAGGGAACCAGCAGCCCAGGGATATCCTAGGATATCCTAGGAATCCTACCTAGGATAGGGTCTAGAAAGGACCAGCACACCACACGGGGATCTGATGAAAGTCTACTCCAGGTTGTTCCCGCCTGAGGCTGCTCCCCACCCAGGCCAGAGCACCCTCTTCCCGGGGCCTCACCCCCTCTCCCTCCGCTGGGCTGCCTCACCCCCTCTCCCTCCCTGTGCTGCTGAGGACCCAACGTCTGGTCTGGCCTCTCCAACGCTGAGCAGGACTGCAGATGGAACTTTGACCTCACACATGCTTCCTGAAGCTCTACCACCGGGGTCTGCTCCGTGCTGCCCAACTCAGGTCTCTCCTAAAATTGTTGGCGAATGAGTGACCAGGACTCATCATAAGTCCTGGTCACACCCACCACCCTCTCCGTTTTCAAACCGCATTCTAAAGGCCTGCAGGTGGAGCTCTGATGAGCTTAGGAACCCAGAGAGTTCCTGGTCACACCCTCCAAGGAACATCTTAGGGCGTGTTTCGCATCTAGTGTGTATAAGGCTCTGGACAGCACACACACAAAAATCCCGAATAATGTATTTCCAGAATAAAATACAGAACCCGAGCCCCGCCCCAAGGCCTTCCCTAAGCCCCACATAGGACTTTTCTATGAGCCCCGCCCAGTACCTGAGCCCCACTCTGCCCTCAGCCGAGAATGGGGAGGGCTATCTATAACGGTGGGTATTTTAGTGAGTCCTACAGGGACCAGACCCGGACGGTCCAGAGCAGGCTCGGCCGCTGTCTGTTCGCCCATCCCTACCCGTGGACCCACTCTGGTCCTGAGGCTGTGAGTTTCCCCACTTACTCTTCTGTCTGATGCTAGAGACAGGCCTTTGCGAAGCTCAGGAAGGAGACAGGCCGAGGGTTGAACCGCCCTCTGGTCCCCACCTCCCGCACTGTTCCCAGAAGGCTCGTTTTTTGTGCGGGCCCGCTGAGGTCAGCACTGGACAGCTCCTCGCCATCCAGATTCCGGGCGTGTCAACAGCCCAGAGGCTGTTTTTTGTTTTTGTTTTTGTTTTGTCTTGTTTTGTTTTTCCGAGACAGGGTTTATCCGGGGCTGTCCTGGCACCACCCCCTCTGTATTCCAGGCTGGCCCACAGAGATCAGCCTGCTTCTGCCTCTGCTTCCCGAGTGCAGCACCACCACTCAGCCAAAGTTTTGTTTTGTTTTGTTTTGTTTTGTTTTGGGGGGGGGGTGTAGGGTTGAGGAGATAGCTCCGCAAGTGCCTGCCTGAGTTCAGTCCTGGGGTCCACAGGATGGAAGGACACAACCAACTCTTGATAGTTGCCCTCTGACCTCTACTTGTAGGCCATGGTGTGTATGTGCTGCCCACAAATAAATCGATAAAAAATTAACTGCAATAAAACCATAATACCTCCCATACATACACGTGTGGTCTGAGGCCCAAGGGTTTCTCTGCACCCAGGGAAGCTGGGCTGAGGTGCGGTTCTCAGTGCTGGTCCTAGTGAGAGGTCTGCGATGCTCAGAGTCCCCTGGCAGGCAATAACCCTGCACGAGGCGCTTGCTCTTGTCTTGCTGTCTCCTTAGCGAGTCCTGGAGCCAGTGGATTCTGGAGCAGTCCCTGCCAGCCCCCTAGGTGAGGGTGTGATCCACAGACGTTTCTCAGGGACCCTGCTGCTGCCTCCATTGTACAGCTGCCTGGGGTCCTCAGGAGAGGCAGAGTCTGGAGCCCATGTGGTTTTCACCACTGGAACTCGAGGGACAGAGAGAAACCAGAGCCCAGCTCAGAGCAGGTGAGGAGCCAGGTGTGCCCGAGGAGGCAGAGTGCTAGTGCTGCCCCAGGCCCTCAAAGTTAGTTTGGGTATGCCTACTGTGTTCCAGGACTGGGGAAGAGGCAGCCATGCTCAGGCTGACAGCAGAAGTTAGTCAAGGCGAGCCAGATAAACGTGCCTAGCAGGTGGTAGAGAATATGCAGTTTGGCTGAAAGAACCTGGGGCTGGGAGGCAGAGGATGGATGTCACAAGACCTCTAGGGGTACAGTTGGTGGGACATTTTAGGGCAACAATTTGACCATATAGGCTTTTTAAAAGATCTCCAAGCCAGATGGGTATGGTTGCCCAGGTCTGTACTCTCAGCACTGGAGAGACTGAAGCTGGAAAATGGTGAGTTGCCATCCAGTTTGGGCCACAGTCTTCAAAAAGGAAGAAAGAAAGAAAGAAAGAAAGAAAGAAAGGAATCTCTGGGCTGGCATGGTGGAAGGAGAGAGCCTATCCATGTAGACCCGATCCTCACAACTATGGAATGCGTGTGTGCCTGCTTGCCCAATAAATAAATAAATAAATAAATAAATGTCATTTTAAAATTTAAAACCCTGTAACCCTGTCCTGATTAGGGTTTCTATTGCTGTGATGAAACACCATGGCCAAAAAGCAACTTGGGGAGAAAAAGGTTTATTTGGCTTATGCTTCCACAGCACTGTTCATCATGGAAGGCAGTCAGGACAGGAACTCACACAGGGCAGGCACCTCCAGTCAGAAGCTGATGCAGAGGCCATGGAGGGTGCTGCTTACTGGCTTGTTTTCCCTGGCTTGCTCAGCTGCTTTCTTGTAGAACCCAGGACCTCCAGCCCAGGGGTGGAACCTCCCACAATGGGTTGAGCCCTCCCATATCCATCACTAATTAAGAAAATGTCCCACTGGCTTGCCTACAGTCTGATTTTTTTTTTTTTTTTGAGACAGGATTTCTGTGTAGCTTTGTAGACCAGGCTGGCCTGGAACTCACAGAGATCCACCTGGAGTGCTGGGATTAAAGGCATGCGCCACCAACACCCAGCTCTACAGCCTGATCTTAAGGAGACATTTTCTCAACTGAGACTCCTTCCTCTCAGATGACTCCAGCTTGCGTCAAGTCGACATAAAACCATCCAGGACAAAGTGCTATAGGGCCGGGGCTGGAGTTCAGGTGGTAAAGGGCTTGTGTAGCTTGTATGAAGCCAGCACCGTATAAACCAGGTATGATGAAGGCAGACGGAGCAAGAGTTCAAGGGCAGCCTCAGCTCAGGGGCTGCTGGGCAGAACTGACACTCAGGCTGGTGTGGAAACAGACGGGGCTGGGGTGGGCAGAATCTGAGTTGCAGCACCAGTGTGAGGAACAAGATGGGAGCTCAGCCTATCATTGTGGGCACTAATGTGTCACAGTGGTTTTGATTTCCCCTGCCGAGCCTCCCACTGTATAATGTAGAAAACAGGGTTTGTGGCAATTTAGCACTGTCCAGTGAGGACTGAGTGGAAGGCAGGACTGAGGGACAAAGTGGGGCTTTAAACCTTCAAGGAGAGTGAAACGTAGTGCACAGCTTTAATCCCATCACCTCAGAAGTAGAGGCAGGAGGATGTCTGTGAGTTCCAAACCAGCCTGAATTACAAAGTGAGATCCTTAGCCACTGTTCCATTGCTGAGAAGAGACACCATGACCAAGGTAACTTTTTTTGTTGTTGGTTTTGTTTTGTTTTGTTTTGTTTTTTCTTTTTGTTTTTCGAGACAGGGTTTCTCTGTGGCTTTGGAGGCTGTCCTGGAACTAGCTCTTGTAGAACAGGCTAGTCTCGAACTCACAGTGATCCACCTGCCTCTGCCTCCCGAGTGCTGGGATTAAAGGCGTCGCTACCACCACCCAGCTGACCAAGGTAACTTATAAAAGAATGTATGGCTTACAGTCCGTGATCATCATGGTGGGGAGCGTGCAGCCCGAAGGCAGGCATGGTGCTGGAGCAATAGCTGAGAGCTCACATCTGATCCTTAGGCAGGAGGCAGACAGATGGAGAAAGACTGCCAGGCCTGGGCTTTTTCTTTGTTTTGATCCGCCGGCCTCTGCCTCCTGAGTGCTGGGATTAAAGGCGAGCACCACCAATGCCTGGCCAGGCCTGGGCTTTTTCTTTGTTTTTTGTTTTTTTGTTTGTTTTGTTTTGTTTTGTTTTCCTAGACAGGATTTCTCTATGTAACAGCTCTGGCTGCCCTCAAACTCACAGAGATCCACCTGCCCCTGCCTCTAGCGCTGGGATTAAAGGTATGCACTGTGGGGGACCAAAGTATTTCTGCTATGGAATATTTTGAGATTCAGCCTTGGGTCTCACTAAACATGGAGCACTGGAAAGCTCCTGCCCACTAGCCCACTAGCAGTTCCATCGACTGGGGACCAAGCACTCAAGCATACAGCATATGAGCCTGTGAGGGAAGTTCTCATTTCAGACCCCACAGACCCTGTCTCAGAATGAAAGCCCAACCAGAGAGGGGGAGGAGAAAGAGGGGGGAAAGGAGAGACAGCACAAGACAGAAAGAGGGAGAGAGGGAAAGGGAGAACAAGACAGAGAGACTGAGAGAGAGAGCAAGACAGAGAGAGGAAGAGAGAAGGAGAGAGGGAAAAAGAGAGGGGGGAGAGAGAGAGAGAGAGAGAGAGAGAGAGAGAGAGAGAGAGAGAGCATGCAGAGGGGGCAGAGAGATTTTCTTTCTTTCACCATGTGGGTCTCAGGGACCAAGCTCAGTCCTCAGGCTTAGTGGTAAGTGCCTGCACAGACTAAGCTGCTGCCCTGGGACAGGGACAGTGCTGGAATGGCTTCCATGTTACATACCCTCATAACAGCTCCTGAGGCCTATTCTTGCCAGTCGCTTCCCAGCACAGTACCGTCAAGGGACTTCCACCAAGCCTGAGGCATGGTAGTGTCATCGCCATCTCCTCCCGCTCCACGCCCGTCCGGCCTGCCAGTGCTGTCTACTCACTTACCCTTCTGCTAATTAAGATGGAAAGTGTCCTTGCAGCTCTCTGCCACTCTCCGGGAAATTCCCCCTGAGACTAGGAGGGGTGGTGAGTGGGATCCTGAGTTTTCTAGAACTGGGAGGGGTGAGACTAGATGGAGGTTTGAGGCAGGAATCGCGGTTGCAAGGTGGAGCCCTGGGGTGTCTTGGGGGCCAATGAGATCTCGTGGCCTGCCGAGGGTGTGAGCCTATAAAACCCGGGGGTGTCTGCGGTGTGCTGCTGGCCGCCCTGAGCTCACAGCAAGGTGGGTGTCCAATGTAGCTCTTTAGCTCGGTGGGGTGGGGACGCCCTTAGAGGTCTTAGCACAGCAGGGTGCTCGTGAGAAGTGGCTGGCTTCCCTCTGTCCCCGCGTTAGCTCTTGGGATCTCTGGCCTGTGACTCTGTGTGCGCGTCTGCTCCTTCTGGGATCCCTCTCCTGCCGGCTGGGGCTGGACCTTCGAACCTGCCTGCCTTGTGTCTCCGGGGACCAGACCCTGAATCTAGGCTTCTCGCTCAAGTGCCCGGGTGGGGGCGTCGGTGACGGGTGGGCGCAGCCTCGCGTCTGAGCCCTGCGATCTTCCGCGCCTGGCTTCAGCGCCGCCACCGCGGAGAGGGAGGCTCCGTGGGGTGGGACCCCGGCTCTGTGCACAGCCTCTCCGGGGCCACCCACAGTCTCTTTCCTTTGCTTGGCTTCGGAGGGGCGCATGGAGACCTCGGGTGTCGGCCGCGCAGGGGTCCCCCGGGCCCCGAACCACCTGTGGCGGCAGCCCCGGCGCCCCATCCGCATCCAGCGGCGCTTCCACTCGGACCCGGAGCCCAGCGAGCGGCCTGCGCTCGTGAAGTCCCGGCGCTCATGGCCCAGCTCCTTCCACCGCCGGTAGGTGGTGGGGCAGGGCCTGTCTGAGAAGGCGGGACATGGGGCGGGGCCAGTTTGGGGGGTGCCATCTACTGAGGGGGCGCGACCTGGAGCGAGTGGGCGGGACTGACACGGATGGGTTTGCTCGAGGAGGAAGGGCAGTCTAGTTCCTTACACAAAGTGGGCGGGACCTGGAGGAGATGGGTGGGACCTTATGAAGTGGGCGTGGCCTGTAGTGGGAGGGTCGGGGTGTCAGACTTGGGGAGACACACGTTGGGCGAGGGAAGGTCCTGCCTAGCCTTTAGGAAGGCAGGGTCGGTGGGGCAAGCCTGGAAGAGACGGGCAAGGCATGAGAGCGTGGTCTGCAGACGGCTGAGGGTGTTGAGCGCATGCAGAGGTGTGCATTGGTTGGGTGCAGAAGCATCCTGATCTCTCTGGAGGTGTGGCAGGGGCGGAGCCTGAGGTTTGTGGGCGGGGTCAGTGGGCTGGGGTCTGAGATGAGCAGCCCACACTAGTGTGAAGTGTCCGGGCTCTTTGGCAGGTGGGGTGTGGGCGTGACCTGGAGGCGATGGAGCATATTGTGGAGGGCTGTGGGGCCAGGGCCTTCTGTGGGGGGATGCTGGGCTGGTGGGGTGTGGAAGGGTCAGGGCTACTCCTGGGGATCACATGGGGAGCCTGTGGTATGAGAAGGCACCTTGCCGGAAAAACTGTGTCTAGGTGATGTAGCCTTGGAAGTGGGTGGTGGTGCATGGTTTACTGTGGATCTGGGTGACTCAGGGTGCCCAGTGCCGTGGGCTCCTGGTGTGTCTGTGGCTCCTACAGGACAGCCTGGACAGTGCCCTACCGCCTGTTGTGAGTCTCCTGTCATTTGTGTCTCTGTGGGTCCCCACTCGAGTGTGTCACACAAAGTTGTGTCCCCATCTGAGTTTTTTGGGGGGTGGCCATGTGTGTGTCGGCAGCTGGGTGGGGCTGTCCTTGCTGGGCTTCAGAGGGGAGTGCTGCTCTGGAATGTCTGAAGGTGTTCTGCAAACCCCTCCTAGCATCTAAGTGGCCCTTAGGTTGCTAAGGAAGAATAGGACCCACAGCAATTCACCCATGGCCTGCCACTTGCCTCAGTCTTGAGGGCCAGAACACAGGTCAGTTCTTGCATTTAAGAAGGATTTGGGAGTCAAGGGGTGGTGGTAGCGCACGCCTTTAGTCCCAGGGCTCAGGAGGCAGAGGCAGGTAGATCTCTGTGAGGGGAGGCCAGCCTGGATTGCAGAGTTGCAGGGCAGCCTGATCTACATTGGAAGACATTGAGAAAAGAAGGAAGAGGAGGGGGCAACCCTGGAGGGATGCTTCAGTAGTGTGCTCTCTCCAAGAGGATGTGAGCTCAGGGGTGATCCGACATACTGATCCCACACATCTAATTTTAAAAGTAGTAAGAATAAATTATAGCCAGTCGTGGTGGCACACACCTTTGATCCCAGAACTTGGGGGCAGAGGCAGGCGAATCTCTATGAGTTCGAGGCCAGCCTGGTCTACAGAGCAAGTGCCAGGACAGCCAGGGCTACACAGAGAAACCCTGTCTGGAAAAACAAAATAAACAAAACATAAAAAGGAAAGGAAGAGGAACTGAGGCTGTCTCCGGCTGCACTGGGAGATCACTCACCTACCATGCTTGAAGCCCTGGGCTCCACACACCTTCCTCTCAGCACTGGAACTGGAGGCAAGGGCATCGTCACAGTCATCCGCAGCTGCATAGCCAGTTTAAGGCCAGCCTGGGCTACATGGAACCCTGTCTAAAAAGGAAAAAAGAAAGCAGTGGGGCTTATAAACTCCTGCTTCTAGAACAAGGCATGTGGGATTGTGAGAAACTGGAGAGATTCCACCGTGGAGACAGCAGACAGCATGTGTGTGTGAGAAAGACAGAGAGAGGGAGAGAGAGAGAGAGAGGAGAGAGAGAGGGAGGAGAGAGAGGGAGGAGAGAGAGCCTCCGTGTGTGTGTGTGTGTGTGTGTGTGTGTGTGTGTGTGTGTGTGAATAGAGAGACAGAAAAGAGGCAGAGAACCTCCCTGTGTGTGTGTGCCGGTATGCATGTTGTGTTTGTGTGAGGCAGCCTCCATGCGTGCGTGCATGTGTGTGTGTGTGAGAGAGAGAGAGAGAGCCGCCCTGTGTGTGTGTGTGAGAGAGACAGAGAGACAGAGCCTCCCTGTGTGTGTGAGAGAGACAGAGAGACAGAGCCTCCCTGTGTGTGTGAGAGAGACAGAGAGACAGAGCCTCCCTGTGTGTGTGAGAGAGACAGAGAGACAGACAGAGACAGCCTCCCTGTGTGTAAGAGAGAGAGAGAGAGACAGACAGACAGACAGAGACAGCCTCCCTGTGTGTGTGAGAGAGAGACAGAGCCTCCCTGTGTGTGTGTGTGAGAGAGAGAGAGACAGACAGACAGACAGACAGACAGACAGAGACAGCCTCCTTGTGTGTGTGAGAGAGACAGAGAGACAGAGCCTCCCTGTGTGTGTGTGTATGTGTGTGTGAGAGAGAGAGAGATAGACAGACAGACAGAGACAGCTTCCCTGTGTGTGTGTGAGAGAGACAGAGTCTCCCTGTGTGTGTGTGTGCCTGTATGCATGTGTGTTTGTGTGAGACAGCCTCTGTGTGTGTGTGTGTGTGTGTGTGTGTGTGTGTGTGTGGGTGTGTGGGTGTGTGGTGGCTATGTCTCCAGAACCAGGCACAGTCATTGGTGGGTCTGGGAAGAAGCCCTTGGACAGAACAAGCTCCCAGGTTAAAGTCCAGCCTAGGAAACTTAGACGGCATCCCTTCCCGCTCTGAGAAAGCTGTGTTCATGGAGCATCGAGCACCACACAGCCTGTGACCCTGCTTCTAGCACCCTGGAGAGGCACAGATGGTTCCTTCAGCCTAGGGGACTGGGTCTGCCTTCCCAGGTGACCCAGCAGGGCCTGCTCCACCCCTTCCAATGACTCATGATTTTCCATTTTCAAGAAAGAACAAACACATTTCCTTTGGGCTTCCTGTGGTGTGGGGAGGGGAGACCCCCACCTGGCTTAGCCACTAGTGTGTGTGCTTCACACAGCCATGTGGGAGGGAGGGAGGGGCTCACCCCATGGGAGTCAAGGTCATGGCTGAGAGGCAGACGCTCTGGTCCATTTGAGGCCCCTCACACAGGAAGGTCAGGACACCTTGTTCAAAAAGCATTTATGAAGCACCTACTGCTTACCAGGTATGGATTGAGAACCTACAAAGAGGGGCTCACGGGTGGCTTGGTGGGAGTCCTAGGGTATAAGTCAGGCAGGCCCAGCTGGAAGGTGTGAGCACGGTGTGCTTCAGCAAAGGAGTGAACAAGTGAACCAGGGTGATCAGAGAGAAAGGTGTGCTCGGCACAGGGAGCAGAGGCTGCAGACCTTCAGATGGAAGGGTGTGGCAGGAGACTGGAAGAGGAGACTTCCTGCTTCTTCCAAGTGAGTTGGAATAGGAGCACCTATTCGCTGTCTGGCACTGAGGGTATGGCTGGAAGCAAAGCAGACTGGCCTTACCCTTGTGCGACTTGGGCTGGCTGGATCCTGGAACAGCAGATGGAGATGCTGGAACCCAGGCAGCTAAGAGAACACAGCAGAGGCAGGCTGCACAGATGTGAATTCAAGCTGAGGTTGATGGAGAGCCATAGGAAGGTCCAGAGGAAGGCGGCTCTGCTCTGTTCAGTTTCTTTCTTTCTTTCTTTCTTTCTTTGATGCCAATCCCAGTTATTTATTTATTTATTTATTTATTTATTTATTTATTTATTTATTTATTTATTTATTTATTTATTTATTTATTTATTTATTTATTTATTTATTTATTTATTTATTTATTTATTTATTTATTTATTTATTTATTTATTTATTTATTTATTTATTTATTTGGTTTTTCAAGATAGGGTTTCTCTGTGTAGCTTTGGAGCCTATCCTGGCACTCACTCTGGAGACCAGGCTGGCCTCAAACAGAGATCCTCCTGCCTCTGCCTCCCGAGTGCTGGGATTAAAGGTGTGCGCCACCAACTCTTGGCTCTGTTGTTTCTTTGTTTCTGGGCCTCCTGGTAACAGAGGAGAAAAGTGCTCACCTTGGGGAAAGGGTATTCAAATAGAAAGGAATGAAGGCAGTGGGGTGTTGAGGGCACTAGAGGCTTTGGGACTCCCTAAAGTCACACAGCAATGTGGATTCAGGACAGGATAAGGGCCACTCACCTGTGCCCTCACTTCTAGTCATGGTCCCTTACCTAGCAGGACTGTAACTCTTGAAGCTCGCAGGAGCCAGACTTGGAACATCCAGCCCGGGCTTGTGGCTTCTACTCTGTGGCCATTTCTCTGTATCAAAAGCTACTAATAAGACATGACTGGGACTGGAGAGATGGCTCAGTGGTTAAGAGCACTGACTGTTCTTCCAGAGGTCCTGAGTTCAATTCCCAGCAACCACATGGTGGCTCACAACCACCTTGAATGAGATCTGGTGCCTTCTGCTGGCATGCAGGCAGAAGACTGTATACATAATAAATAAATAAAATCTTTTTAAAAAAGACATGACTGGGGGCTGAAGAGATGGCTCAGCGGTTAAGAGCATTGACTGTTCTTCCAGAGGTCCTGAGTTCAATTCCCAGCAACCACATGGTGACTCACAAACACCTTAAATGAGATCTTGTGCCCTCTGCTGGCATGCGGGCAGGAGACTGTATAGACTGTATACATAATAAATAAATAAAATCTTTAAAAAAAAAAAAGAAAAAAAAAGACATGACTGTTGGAGCCATTAATGAAATACAAATTTGACTCCGTGAATGAAGCAGTCATCCTACAGCCATTAATACAATGTTAATGCTAGGCTGGCTGCTGGGACTGCAGAGGGATGGATAATTAGTTAATGAATTAAATGGAAGAAGCTTGGACACAGGAGTTCGCTGACCTGGGATCCTGCAAATTCACTCTGTCATTCATAGCTATGTGACCTCAGGCAAATGGCCCAACCTCTCTGCCCCTGCCAGCTTTTGGTACCATACAGATCTCATCGTTGTCTTCACTTTCTATTTTCCATGATTTTGAGGGTGGAACTGAATGCCCCTGGGACCACAGTGATCTTCCCTTAGGCCTGGAGTGATGTCAGGACTCCCTGGACCCTGGCTGGAGACCTCTGCTCTCTGGGGAATGGCTATAATTAGCTGGGGCCCAGCAGCCACAGATGGTATTTTCATCTTGGTCTCAGTAAAGTCTGTTCCCAGCAGGTGTCGGGTTGGGGATTCATGGGTTGGAAGGGCTCCCCGGTGTCTGAGCCTCCTCACACATGGGGCCGCATGACCCATCTGAACCGTCACTTAGGTCCCCACTGAAGTCTCACTCCATAGCCATTCACCTTAGATCCCCAGGGTGACTGGAAATCTGGGTGTCATCTTGCTGGGAACACAGAGGACTGGCTAAGCTGCAGGGCGTGGGTCCCCAAACAGCCGTCTGTACCGTCTTAGCCTGCCCATTGGGCATTCTGTGACACGCATGAGCCTCAGTTTCCCCTTTTGTCAAATGCGACTAGATTCTGTGACTCCTGGAGACTTCACAGACCTGTCTCACTGTTGGCGGGTGGGGACATCTGGAGCAGCCCCTGCGGAAGCTCTTCAGGCGGATGTTTGTCGGGGAGACAGCCTAGCTATTGAAATGATCCAGATGCAGGGCCTGGGGAACGTCAGAGCCAATGGGGTCATGCTGGGACCTGGGAGCTGGAGCCGGGCTGCAGTGTTGCCGACCACCGACCAGGGAAGCCCAGTGCCTCATTTTCCCTCTCCTGGTCCAATCTCAGGGGTGTCCTCACCCAAGAATAGATCTGAATCACTGTGGGCTGTGGCAGCCCCTACCTCGGAGATCTCTCCCTACGAAAGGACATCCTTCTCCCATCCTCCACATCACTCTGTGAGACAGGTTCTCACTTTGAAGTCCACAGGTGCCCCAGCGATGGAATGGCAGGTGTGAGGCAGTTCTCAGCCCAGACACCTGCACCAACCCTTAAGCCAGGATTTGGTGGCATACATCTATCTTCCCAGCACTCAGGAGGCTCAGACAGGAGGATTACCATGAGTTTGCAATCAGCCTGGGCTACAGAGTGAGTTCAAAGTCAACTTAGGCAACCTGAGGCCCCGTCTTTAAAAGAAAAAATTAGTAAATAAATATATAACTAAAAATAGAGTTAGCGAACAGAGTAGAGCGTGTGCTGTGCCTCAGTTTCCCCCAGGCGCCAGGGTGGGAGACACACAGCGATGGGAGGGGCCTGGTCCTCGGCTCCGCCCCGAGCATCTAAAAAGGCCCCGATTCCCGGGTCCCGCCTCAGCCCGGCCATGCAGTGCCCCTCTGCGCCTGACTCCCCGCGGGGGTCCCCGCGCGGCTCCCCCGCACTCTTCCGGAAGCTGCTGATGAACCAGAGCATCCGCCTGCAGCGCCGCTTCACGGTGGCCCATCCGCTTTGGTGAGGCGA